GCCAGGACATGGACCCCCGCCCACCTGGTCCAAAGGTCCTTGGGTCTGAGGCCCCAGCGGGCGTCCCCTGGCGGTGAGCACGCAGCGGTGACCTGGCGGGCCTCAGAAAGACACTGCTGTCCTCCCCTGGCGGGGTGGGTGGTGCCAGGGAAGTCCTGGCTGCGGGACTCTGTCACAGGAGCTGCCTCCAGCTCTGGCGCCCAGACATGACTGCAGGATCCTGAAGAGCACGTTTCCAGATGGGTGAGGGGCTTTTTGTTCCTGGGTACTAGTTTCTAATTCTTTCCTTTGCTGGGTAGACTTCCTGCCGTTTTCTCCTTAGAGGGTGTCTTTGGTTCAAAGTATGACAAGGTGGACGCGCCTTGCAGACTATAAAGTGCCCTTTCGTTCTGGACTATTCTGTCCTCTCTTGTTCCCACTTTTGTGTCTTTCTGTTAGGCAAAGACAGTGAGCTGTGGGTGGCTGGCAGTGTCCACCCTGGCCAGAAGGCTGCTGGACAGGAGACTGTGCGTGGTTGGGGTGGCTTGTGCGTACTACCCGATGCCTGGAGGGTCCTCCTGTGGGGAGCTGCGGTCTCCCTCGGACACTCTCCTTGAAGTAGAACAGAAACAACATTCACAGACCCTTGGGGTGGGCCCGTCTGTCCAGAGCCCAGTTGCAGCCTGGGCTCCCGTGTGCTGCTCAGATGGCACAGTGGTATTGCCGCCCTAGACCCAGGGCCTCTTTCGGCACCTTTCTCGTGCACTGGGCTCAGAGGAGACCACCCCAGCTGTCCGTGGGCCACATCAGCCCAGAGTCGCCACAAAGCACTGAGTCCCAGCTCCCTGGCTTGTGGCAGGGGCATGCTTGAGTGGAACCCGTAGGTCAAAAATGGATGCTGGAAAGAGGCTTACGCACACTGCCCTGGGTGAGGAATTCACCCGCGACCTCCGTGGACCTGCCTCTGTGACTCACACTGGTGACCATGGTAGGTCCACACGCCCCGCCGGGCCGGGGTGGGGACTGAGTAGGGGGCAGGTGGTGGACGTCCCTCACTGGCCAGGGACAGCGGGACTCTCTGGGAGGGGCATTGAGGGGAGAGCAACGGCCGTGGCTGCTCTGCTGCTGTAGGAGCGCTCCTTCCCCTGGGCTGGGGACAGGGAGGTGTGTCAGGCTGGGCACAGAGGCTTCTGTCGTACCAGGCAGGACAGACGTGGAGACCGCGTGCACCCAGGGGCTGCGGGTAAAGCTCCTGGGCCCACGGGCAGGGTCTGGGTGGGGACAGCCCTCTGGATGGTGCCGGCATCTCAGTGTCTGGAGGCGATGCTCACAGAACTTGCAAGCTGAGGGTGCTGCCACGGTGGGCAGTGGGCACACAAGGGACGAAGAGCTGAAGGCCCCAGGCCCCATGCCTCTCTGCCCAGTGAGTGGGTAACTCCTGGTCTCCTGTGTCCAGCCCAGTGTAAAAGGGACAGTGGGTTGGGGGTCTGCATCTGAGGACGGGGGGCTCTTCCAGATTTGGGGGGCGGCCCATAGTTTCAGGAGGCTTTGCCTATTGTCACCCTAGGCCGAGACCCGGGACCCCCCAAATTTGTGGGTCTCGTCAATCAAGGACTCACCTGCTACCTCAACGCCCTGCTGCAGTGTCTCTTCCTGACCCCCGAATTCCGAGACAGGTGAGTGCCTGGGAGGCCCGCAGGATTGTGGGCTGGGTCCCAGCCGGCCGCGCTGACAGAGGTAAGGACCCAGGCTTCCTCTGTGGTCACAGGATCCAGAAGTTTCCAGGGTCCTCCCGGTCTGAGCAGGCACTTCGCCAGATCTTCTCGGGACTGGGAGAGCAGCATGGCCCCGTGCAGACGACAGACCTCGTCACCTGTCTGGGCCTGAACTGTAAGTGGACATCGGAGGGCACAAGGACAGGGTGCCACGGAGGGTCAAGCCGAGACCATGAGGTCGTGTGGAGAACCTGTGTGTCCTGCTGAGGGGCCGCACTCACCACC